GAGCTTTCGTTATGCAAATGTGTGAACAGATTAAACAGACGATTGCCTTCTCAGTATTTACAGGTTGCAGTTGTCATTGTTATGCATATAGAAAAGAGATATGACTTAATCAATGCAACCTGTTTAATCACTTTAGTGATTAGAACAATGGACAACAAAGGTAGCAGAAACAGATTTTATTGTACTACATTTGACTGTAACTTGTCACCTAATACAGATATGTTCCTGTCTTCCTATATAACTTAGTGTCTCCTGCAACATGACTACAATTTAAGGATATGTCTGTGTGTTTGGTAACATATTTGATGGGCTGTGTGTTTGTGCTTTGACACTGTCCACCTCCAAAAGAAGAACAGTTTCTCTTATTTGACGCTAAACCAGAACTGAAACTCAGCTTTCACCCCTTGCTAGAGGAGTTCTCATTGCTGATGTTAAAGAGAAGCTGAAAAGCTAAATGCAAACACCAGGTTTATGTTATTATTACAGTTTATTGTATTGCATACATATCTAATAAACTGGCACATATGCTATTCAGAACTTTCAGCACTTACAGCTGTTAGAACTGAAAAGTCAATACTACAGTACCAGAAGTATCAATGCAAAACTAATAGTGTCAATATTATAATTTAAAAGCCCCCAAATTGTCTAATGAAGCATGCTCATTTCCAGCCATTTAATGTTTAACCCTCTGGCGCATAGTGGTCACTGCAGTGGACAGCTATTCAAAAGTCTTTTTCTCCAAAATGCACTGGTTTCAATGGTGGAACTGCATATCAGCCACTAGAGTGCTCTCTACTGCACCACTCCTTTGAGGTTTATTCAGTGGTCAGTCGTTGTAACTACAAGGGAATTTCCTCTGAATCCAAGATGGCCAACAGTAAGCCACACTTGTTGACTACTGCTGGAATATCCTGTCAGACCTTCTATTCCAGAGGAACCCTAGAGGTAAAAGAAATATGATGATATACAGTAACATCATTCTTTTATTTTTGAAAAATCTTATTTCCAATAACGGGCAGCACGGTGGCACAGTGGTTAGCGCCGTTGCCTCACAGCGCAAAGGTTCCAGGTTCGGGCCCCACCTAGGACCTTTCTGTGTGGAGTTTGCATGTTCTCCCCGTGCTTGCGTGGGTTCTCTCCGGGTACTCCGGCTTCCTCCCACAGTCCAAAGGTTGATTGGTGTCTCTAAATTGCCCATAGGAGTGCATGTGCGTGCGTGTGTGTGGTTGTTTGTCTATGTGTTAGCCCTGCAATGGATTGGCGACCTGTCCAGGGTGTACCCCGCCTTTGCCCATTGCCGGCCGGGATTGGCTCCGGTCCCACTTGTGACCCCGCTCAGGGATTTAGCGGTAGAAAATGAATGAATGAATTATTTCCAATAAGTAGTAAATTACAATTAACCATGTGTCCAATGAAGTGGATACCATGCATCATCACGTATATTTCTGACTCAAGTCATGTAATTGCTTCACCTTTTTCTTGTGACTCTTTTGGTTGTAAATGAGTGTATTTTGCTGTATTTTATAGGGTATTCATTTAAAAATGGATAGTCTTGTGCAAATTAGTTGTAGTTTGTGTGAGTAACACATCATTTTGTCATATTTTGTAGACTGTCAGTGCGGCAAAGAATAGGGAAGCCTATAGAATAGTCCAGGAAATTCCCTTTGACTCCAGTGATGATGATTATAGTGACAGTGATGATGAGTTGCTGCCAGAGAACAATAGAGACATAGGAGCTGAGGATGATGAAGAAAATGCAGTCACTCAGGATGCACATGCCAGCATGCAGATAGTCAGGATGATGAGGGTCAGGATGCAGAGGGAGGTCAGCTTGATGAGGAAGCTGTGAAAGATGTGCACATGGTACCTGGCTGCACTCAAGCCTGCTAAAAATGTCTGGAAATTCCAAGACGACTTTGATGGAGACTTGCCTCCTTTTCTAGGAGACTGGAAAGTAAATGTTGAGGGAAGAGATCCAGCAGATTTCTTTAGGCATCTGTTTCCCGCAGATCTCATTGATGATATAGTGCACAACACCAACTTGTATGCTCTCCAGAAAGGGAGAGAAAATCTGGCTGTGACAAGAAAAGAAATGCAGATTTTTTAGGGATCAACATGGTCATGGGGTACATTCGGTACCCTAGGGCATGAATGTACTGGTCTAGTGAGGATGGCCTTCATCTCAGATTAATTGCAAATGCCAGATATGATTAAATTCTGGGTTACCTGCACTTTGTGGATAACTATACTTGCCAGCCAGCAAACACCAATAGGCTCTTCAAAGTAAGACCAGTGCTGAATGCACTTCAGGAAACATTCAAACCCTGAAGAAATTCAGTCCATTGATGAGCAAATCATTCCCTTCAAAGGCCTTTTGTCCGTCAAACAATACATAACAAAAAACCCCAAACCCTGGGGAGTGAAAGTGTGGGTGAGGGCAGGGACCTCAGGGTATATGTACAGATTCTAAATGTACCAGGGCTCTGCAAGTCGTAATCGCATCAGTTGGTTGGGAATGGCTGGAAATGTAGTGATGCACCTTTGTGATGACATAAAGCACAAAAACCACAACAATCAGAATCAGTTTTATTGGCCAGGTGTGCTGGACACGAGGAATTTGACTCTGGTACAGCGGCTCTCAATGTGCACGTACATATCCCCATGCAAGACAACAGCAAGGGGCAAATAAACAGTATAAACAGGCAGTAAATAATGCAGTCAGACAAAGGAATGTTCATTTGGAGACAAGATAAAATTAGTATAAAATGAAGTAATTAAAAATAAAAATAGAGACCTGTATGAATCTGTATATTCTGTACAATGTATATTTACTGGCATTGCACTGGGGGAAGGTATTTCATTGATGGTTATTGTCCAGTCATACTGTCATGGGTTAAGTGTTAATCAGAGTGACGGCTCAGGGAAAGAAACTGTCCTTGTGCCTGGTTGTCTTGGCGCACAGTGACCTGGACTGGAAAAGATGAATCTCCTCCTCTTCAAAGCTTCTATAGTTCATGCACTGATAAATGCTGGTTCCCTCCAGCAAAGCAGAAGAGGAAGACCCAGTGCAACCCCACCTCCAGTGAAGTGCAGAGCAGTCACCAAAGTACCCCGTGAGGTCAGATTTGGCACAGGAAATCATTGGCCCCAATTCACCAAGGTGAAAAATGCAAACAGATGCCACAATGCTGCATGCACTCAAAAGACCAAATACATCTGCATGCAATGTGCGACTGTGCCCTGGATGCTTTGCCAACTTTCATACAGCCTAGGTTTGATAAACTGACATGCAGAGCATATTACAGAAGTGTTCAGAGATGCAGATATGTCAGTTCTTGTTTCTGAAAACATATTAATCTTGGGTACCTCTAGATTAGCTTGGCACCCCTCATAACTCCAAGTAGTCTGTAATTATTTCACAACAATAAAACCAGAGAACCTTTTACTAAAAACAAGAGGATAGTTCATGAACACACACACATCCTGCTTCTGGTGTTGTATTGAAATGTGTTTCTCCATTGAGATGCGTTTCTCCTAACCCAAATCCTAACATTATCCTAACCACAACCACTGAGGGGGTAGCTACATGAAACCAAGTTTTGAAAAGGGGACACACATCTCGACGGGGGGACAAATAGGTTATGTTTTCAACAATGACAATACCTTAAATCCTACCTGAATACCTGAGCCAGAATATGAAAGTGGACAGCACAATAAACTGCGATGGCATTATTTGAATTTCTCCTCCATAGATAGGTAAACAACAGTATATGTACCAATGAAAAGAGATGTGTAACACTCTAAGCAAAGAGGATAACTGAGAAACCCCATATTTTAACTGGCATAATGCAGACATAGTTATGTCTCCAACCTTACAACAATTCTCTCTATTGTTACAGAAACAAGGCATTAATTAACAGACACACAACGTGCGTTGTTTTAAACTTACCGTTAAGTCGCACTGAGTAGTGGAAACATCACTCCCTTTCAAGTAGCTCCAAGGTCAGTAAATCCAACCGGTGGTCGCTGTGTCTTCCCCCACATGACCACATACACTCCCAAAGCAGTGAAATTAATTCCAACAGGTAGTGTAGCACCAACAATAACATCATGGATCCTTAATCCGCTGGTTAACCAGCAACATGATTAGCTGATCATTCACCACTGTGGAGGCTTCACAGGCCAGCTGCTTGTAGATTAAACCCAGTCAGATAAAACAGCGAGTCCCTGTACAGGAATATTCCTGGACATGCAGTAACCTCAGGCCCTGTATTTTTCTCCACATCCTCTGGTCACAGTGCAGCAGCAGGAGGGAAAATATATCCAAAACCAAGCACAGGCAAAAAATTATACTTTTACAGTGGCACCGGTGGATTTATTTTTAACATAAGCTTTATTGAAAATACACATAACAAACAAGGCAATGTAACATTTTGCCAGTATGGTGGGGCCACCGGTGGATGTCATGCAAGACCACATGAACGTGCAACAGCCTGGATTTTATGACCATTCAAGGAAATCCTTAAATGTCCTATCCTATCACATACTGTAATACTTTATTTTGTTAGAAAAAAAGTCTTGTGAGCGAGAGTTTGTGAGAATTGTATAAATTGAGTTGCTTCTGCATAGAAGTACTAGAACATACACCTCAATTTTTGAGCTTTAGGTCACGTCTAAGATGATAATTCACCGTTGTAACAGGAAAAGCGCCATGGGCTTTTTAATATTTACCAGTATACACTTTTGTAATATTTGGGCTACAAAGTGATAAACTACACATCAGAGATTCATACTTACTGCCCTTCCTGTATCCTTCATTTTCTGCATTTATATATTAAACACCTGCTACACACAGAGAGAACGGTATACACTCACACCTTCATATTTCTTTGAAAGTCACTTCATGGCTGCAGAAGTACAGTATATTAGGTACTGTATGCCCTTAGCTGTCTGAACATGATAATTAACACAAAGAGTACTCTGTTTTTCTGTCTTTATAGGAAGTCTTTCCCTTCCCAGCATGCCACTCTGGCTGCTTTTGCTGCTGTCTACATCTCAGTAAGTACTGAACATACATACTCATATATAAAGTAAGATTATGCATCTCATCACCAATGCCCCTGGTTATGCTGACCACTTGACAATCTTCTTATTATTATTTGCACTACTGTCACTGTTTGCACATGGATTTGAGTTTCATCATAGGCTATTAGGTTGTATCATCTAGTTTATCCTTATTACTTAAATTCATTTTCCATGTTCTATTTATTCTGTGTTTATTCTACTTGTATTCTATTTTAGTTTCTTAAATGGTATGGGCATTCAACATTAGGTGAGAGAGAAACAGTATTTAAATTTTTCTGTATGTCCTACACATATAGTGAATTGACAATAAAAATCTTTGATCTTGAAGATTTGTAGCTGACTGTCTCACCTAAAATATTCCATGAACATTAAAATCAATCAACATTAAAGGTTAACAGTTACTTCATGTGAAACTGTATTTCAGATGTACTTCAACACGGTGCTGACAGACTCAACAAAGCTGCTGAAGCCACTCCTGGTGTTCTCGTTTGTCATGCTGGCCATCCTGGCCGGGTTAACTAGGATCATCCAGTTCAGAAACCACCCTGTTGATGTCTACTGTGGGTGGTTACTGGGAGCTGCCATTGCTGTTTATCTGGTAAGAGTCAATGAGTTACAAGTTTTTTAATGGTTTGTTTCAGGGCAGGTACAGGTTTTTAGTCAGAACATAGTGTGTGAAAGGACTGTAGGGTAGGTTAAACTGCCAGAATATTTTGTTTAGCAACCCTTACAAATGCACAGTTTCACAAGAGTCTTGCTCGTTCTCTGTTGCTGTTGTTATCCTGGACAACTTTCTGTCAATAATATCGCAGCTTTAGCACCTCAGAACATCCACTGCAGTGAAGTGAAATGGCCAACAAATCAGCAAAACTGAGCAAAAACTGGACTGAAATTCATTCCGGTGTCTAATAAAGGGTGAGACCTGTTGTGGAGTATAAATGAACCTCAAGTGCTGGGTACTGCTAAGTTTGATAAAATCAAACAAAAAGCTACACTATGTAACTTTTCCTAATAGTTTTAGTAGAAACAGTCTCCTCAGCATATCATGTGGCGTGGTGCTGTCAAAGACTCCTCTGACCCAGACTGACACCGAGTTGGAAAAGCACAATGGTTTGGCTCTGAATATCATGCTAGTGCTAGCTTATTTTGAAGACTTACATTTTCTCTGCCAACAGCCTGTTGGTTCCTTTTCTAAGTTTGGTTTATCATGGAAAACCATAACTGTTTTTAACAGTGCCTGGATGACCAGTGTAGCTTTGATAAGGAAATGTGTGTTTTCGCTTTCAATCTTAGCAGTTGTTACAGTATGTTGTGCTGACTCTGTGTTCTACTGCACAGTCTCTTTACATTTCATGATTTGTTTAAAAACATATGAGACATCTAGCAGGAATTTTGGCTGGAACTACCTTAACAATGCTCTCACCCAGATGTGAATGGAGGAAAGAGGCAGAATTTG